TGAGCGTCGGGGGTGCCAGCACGGGACCCTTTAAAGTTGTGCGTCGACAGGGTCTGCGTCAGGGCATGGATCACGCGGAACTGCTGGCTGACAAATACAGCCAACTGGATGGTCAGCCCTCTATCTTCTGCCTCTTTTTATTATACGAACACGGCATCGCTTTATTTGCCGCATGAAATTTTAGCCTCAAGAAGATTATTTACAGATGACGAAACACAATCCTAAAATATTTTCAGTCACGTTAGGATATGACCTCTTGAACGAGCTTCTTTGCGGTGGACTGTCAAAAATTTCTTAAGAAGTATGCTTCGTTTCCCACGAATGATTGGTACCCTTTAAAGATAGATATATTTTATAGAAAACATGCATGAAAGTAGTCTTTCTTCTACTCACTTGGTAGAAAATTGCACCTTCTTTATGTTGTATACTGGAAGGAAGGGAGGCTTTCGATTCAAGCACAATCTCTATTAATTTATTAATTTGGCTTATAAAGCATGAACGTGTTCCATCGTATGGTGCCTTCCTCATAACGTTGAGAAATGTGTAGGCTCCCTAAGACAGAATATGCACGCCGTATAGTTTGAAAGCCCTGAATGAAATTTTAACGGTAGGGCGGGCTCAATTATTCAGCAATTGAAAAGATTCTAAAGCGAGATGCTACCTTTTCTTCAAGTATAATATTTAAGGAAGACGTAATTGTTTACTAGATAATTACAAGTAAGTCTATTTAGTGCAGGCTTTCATTTACATATTTTTGTACTCATAAGGGAGAGAAAATAAATGAGGAAATGTATACGACTTTGGCAATTATTTCTCACAGAGCAAAGCTTCCATTGCCGGTCGGACGGTATCTCGTTGAAGAGCCAGCATCCTGAAATGATTGAAATATCCGGAGATTACGCACCTAACTAGTGAGTATTAAAATCTACTTCAGTAAAATTTTCGAAATGGATGCGCATTTCTGTTAGATATCGTTCAATGTATGCGAATATAAAAATTCAAGATAAAATATAAGGTCGTTTAGTAGTAATTGTTCGTGTATCTGTCCAGGCGCCGAAAAAGCTTGTTCAAAAGCCGGTATCCCATCGTGACTGAAATAGCCCAAGGATTAGCCCGCACGGTTATTAATGTTATGACCCAGCTCAACTAATTTTTTTTGTTTCGAATTGAAAACATATTTTAGAAATTCGGCCAGCAGTCATCGAGGCCGCATCTCTACTGTATGTTGTGGTCCACATTTATTTAATCATCGTTAACTTTTTTGCGCTATATTGCATACTTTTCTCTACCATCTTCACCTAGTGGGCCACCCGAATATCCCCTTGCTCTAACAACCATCTTGTGCGTGCATTTAAAAAAGTAAGAAAGATGCTGTGACTGTCCTGCAATTATGAAACGTTTTGCCATTCGTTAACTTAGGTCAAAGTATCGTATTTGGCAGGACTGACAAAGGAAAGATCTGCTGAAGAATATCGTGTGCACAAACTCGTTAAAAAAATTCTATTTAAATTTCAAGCTGAAGCTTCATTTTCTTGGCCATTTTCATCTATCTCTGATAACATTTATGCAAGCTCGCATTTTTTGCTTTGGCTGGATACAAATCAGGCTTTTTGCGTTGGCGTGAGTCTCAGTCCCCTGCAGGGTTTGCGCATTGCGAGTAAAAACGGATAACCAGAAAAAACTACTCCATCGCAGTAGCATTGCGTGCTAGAGGCCAGCTATAGAGCCAAGAAAGAACCACTTTGCGGATGTGGATTGCGTGGCCGAATTATGCTGCAGACTGCTTTTTCCATTTCTGCTTCAGGTGCCCATACAACAAGTGCGATTTTATCAACCAATAAACGCTGAGAAAGTGAGCTTTTAAAGGAGCTATCCAGTGCGCTGGGAAGCTTACTCGTCTTGTTAGTACTCGGCGTTCACATCTACTATCGTCATGTTTGGACCAAGTCTATTCACTTTCCTAGTCGTCTACATCTTCACCTTCCAACGCACTCTCTATGGACAGCTCAGAGTGAACTTCTTTCTCACTGAAGGAATCTGTGGACCCACTTTTACACTCTTTGATTATCCTTCCAGTATCGTCTTTCCTGTCGAAGCCATGCAAAGTTTGGAAGGCTGGAACCAACCTGGTGCCCCACCAGCTGTGCAAATATATTACTACTTCTTCAGAATTCCAGGTTGCAACCTGAGACAGAACGGGCGATCTAGCGCCGTGTTAGCCGCCCTGAGCACAATGAATGGCACAGCAGCCCTGGATAACGAGTTTGCTGTCTTCATTGGCTCATCCAGGACAGGCGACTGTGGCCTTGTGTCTGATTGGATATCCCTGGGTGACCAGGGTGATTTGCAAGACCTTGGCCTCTATGAAATCAGCTATGTATGTCGTAGGAACATTAGGGCTGAGGCCCTTGCCACCGTAGTCGACGGTGATGACCGAAAACCCTTCGGAGCCTATATGAACTCTTTTAGCACGGCGTTGAATACGAGAAAGTATCTAAAGGCTTTGACTGTTTTGTTGTACAGATATCGCTGCAAGTACGTTGTTATGTTTTATGAGCTCAGTTCCGATATAACGGACAATGAATTTTTCGCCAATGAGTTGTCAGTCTTATTGGCCAAAGGTGAATACGATAATTTTGAAGTCGTCGATTTGTATCGGTTGCGGCCGGGGAGAACAAAGTTCTCAGTCCTCAGAGTGGAAAATGAAATGTATGACGGTTCGTACGCACCTCTCTAGTTTAGTTGTTTTTCGAGCCATACAGGTGATTTCATGTCTCATTTAATGTCAACCGATATTCATAAATGTGTTTTAGATGGGGATAGATTACCTAATTACTTAATTACTTACTTACTTAATTAATTACTTAATTAATTAATAATTACTTAATTATTATGCAACAGCATCCAAAAATATTTAACCGGCAGAAAGTATACTTGGTAACAGAATTTCCGTTGACATTTCCCGAGGTATTGAATCTACTGTATACATAATTAGAAATCGACATAGTAATGTTCCATATAGGAGAGCTTATTATGCCGTCATGGTTAATATCCCCCGCATTTTTCCCTTCATGTAAAAAGAGGCAGCAATCACGACAGTAACTTGTTGACTTTACAAACAGCTGGAACAACGTGGAACGAGCGATAGATCGGGCTAGCACAGCTCATCCATAAAACTGCCCACACTAACCCTAACCCTACAATTAACCCAAGCTCCTATAGTAGCGACCACTAGGTGTCATGTTCTCGAAATTTTACTTAATCGACAATGGCTACTGTTATTAATCAATGAGCAGACTTATTAGCATATCCATTAGCTTAGTTATAAAAATATCGAATTATTGAATTACCTTTCAATGGCTATTGAATTGCGACAGCAAAAGACTGCCTGATAATCCTAATAATTTTTCATTGTTGTTAGGTGTAGTCAGTCGGACAATGGCGCGCACTCAAGCACTCTGCCGGTAGGCAAATGACACTGCTCTTACATGACGACATGCAAACCAAAATTTCCACAAGTACTAACAGGCCTACTGAATACATGTTCAGTAGGAATGCAATAAACTCACGACAAAGCTGGACAGTGTTTCCAATCTCTGCCGAAGATAATGTTGCTTTTCTGTGTTTTTTCAGCTATA